TACGTGCTCCGCTGGGCGCCGCGCTGGTATGCACCTGGCTGGTGCTGCTCCACCGTGGCGTGATGAGGTGGGAGAGGGGGCTGATTCCTGTGAGGCGTCCGTGAGGCACCCATCTGCGTACGGCGAGAGCTTGTTCAGGGCCGCGTCTGGTGGGAAGGCATCGGTGACTTGGGTTGTATAATAAGGGGACTTCGGTGCTCAGGCACTGATTTTGATCTCGTCCTAATCGCACGTAAGAGTGCGACTTTATCCGTCACAGTTCACCGCTTTTTGGTAACGTCATTGCATAATGTGTGCGGCTCACTTTGCCGTTAGCACCGCTAAAATGCAGACCTGACAATTGGAACCAGAACATCAGCGTAGATGTTCACTGAGGGATAAGTGAGCCAAAATTTGGGTGACTGGGACTAATGAAAGTCGTTTGCGTCCACTTTTACAACCGTTTATCATTACCTTTGTAAATGTTGAATCAACAACAAAAATGCCTGCACCGATTTGTTCTTCGATTGATCTCCGATCGACTCCATAAAGACCTGCACGCATTTCAACATAGCACGGAATCAGTGCTCATCGAGCAAAAATTTTCCGACAGCTTTGTATGCATATCACTGAACACAAATACTCCTGACAGTTTGGCATCGTTTTACGGCGGTGGCGTCAATGTTGACTCCGATGACTAGTTTTGAGGACGATCAAACGGTGGGACGTCGGTCTTAAGCGATGTCGTGTGTTTGAGGAGTAAATTAATCATGCAACTTTTGTTTCAGAGGAGGACTTCAAAGGGAAGTCTCCGGAGGAGATAGAAATGATGAAGGTCATGGGATTTGGTGGCTTCGACACAACGAAAGGTAATATTTTTCAGTATCAGGCCCAGCCCTGGATCTCTTAAGTATCTAACTGAGCTCCTACATGCTTTCTGTTCCCGGAATGCCTACGTCGAGCTACACCCAATTGTGCATAAAAAGTGCTTTTTGATTTGTCGTTGGAAGACTTCCCATTGCTTAAGAGAGTTCACGGGCCATGTACACTGCAGTGACCATATTTGAACAACACATTCGTGTACTAGTTCCACAAATCTCGTTTGGTTGTGTGTATTCTAGCGACCTCGTTTGTTAGCGTGATCCAAACTAGGAGCAGCATTCAAAGGAACACAAATATGATCCGTGATATCGTTTTGCATTCGCCGTTTGCCTGAGTCGCCTTGCCAGAGGGATTCATAAGCCTCTAGCGCTTCAACATGACTCCTCTAATCATTTACGATGTTTTTGAGCAAAAGACGATGGAATTCGGGTGTGGTCCGACTGAATAACTCGATAGGGCTCAGCTATATATAAGAGGCCGAAATCTAGGGTTAAAATAATATCTAACTCGGTCATGACAATGATGTTGGGTATTTATTGCCTCCCATGGTCGATTGAACTGGAGCCGCCACGTGTATTTCTAGCCCGTGACACGGCTGTGTATTGCAGGTAAAAAGGTAGATGGCAATAACCAGGGAGCTGTGCACGTCGTGCTGAAGCGCCGCTACCGACAGTACATGAACAGAAAGGGCGGCTTCAACCGGCCGCTCGACTTCGTGCTCTGAGGTGTGCAACAGTGATCGTGATGACTGTCAGAATGTGGCGACTTGATGCCGTTCGTATGCGTACTCTTGGTGTGAAGAGCCGCCATGCAACTTTTGTCTTGTTTCTTTTTGCAGTCGTGCTCATCGCGCTATTTTGCATCTCCTACGTTGTACGGTATTTTGAGCTGGACGCGTGGGTATTCACCTCAAACATGGCGTACATGGCAGATTGGCGTTTCTCTGCGGTTGTATGCAGATGTTCAGGCAATGTTAAGTTAAAGTGTGCATACCAGTGTAATACATCATCGTGCATCAGACACGTTTATAACAACATTGGAGACTGCATACCATTCTGTATTTCAGGAATGGGTACATGACGGCGGGAGCGCAGTCCGGTCAAGCGAGCAGAGCACAGTAACTTCCCGGAAGCAATCACGGTAGATTCTCATAATTCAACCCAACAATAGGCTCAAACAATCACAAAATGTTCAACACACCTTCGGGTGAAGTAGACACCTTAGGCGCCATCCACTCCACCATCCAAGGCACCTCGCGCCTTGATTTTATACACATGCCTTCCAGCAGAGAAAGCTCGAACTGGCTGCCTGCGGTGGCCGGGCCCAGCTGGCTCCTCGGCTACACCTCGTGTCAGCGCCGCCGGCCGCCCCGCTGCCGCGGCGTCAGCAGCCGGCCGCCGGGTGCGGCTGCTAGTCCTGCAGCAGGGTGAGCAGCGCCGTACCCTGGGTGATCCAGTGCTCCTCCGGCTGGTCGCACGGCAGCTGGATGTCCACCACGAAGTTGGTCGAGTGCCCGGTGGTTGACAGGACGCCTGCAATCGAACTGGCCGCCGTTAGCCAGTGTCTGGGGTGATTGGTATAACCGGGAGAGGGTTGGCACGTTATGAGCCACAAAACGAACCCCAAGACCTCGGTAAACTAAGCCTTCGGCCCGGGTCTTCCCAATCGGCCTTTCCTGCCAAGGGAATCAAAAGACAGCGAGGACGAGAACATAGGGTAGTCGGATGGGCCTCCGGCAGAGACCACGCACTTGCGATTAGAGCACGTTCGAACCCAGGTGACCCCATATGACTCCGAACGGTGTTGACATTTACCAAGCGTGCGGAAGGCAGCTACCGCGGACGGACACATCGTCATACCCCTTTAGTCCGGCTTATTTACCCGCGATGATCATACGGACCGGTGGGCCGGATCGCAGCGCGCATCAAGACTGTCTCGGCTGGACGGCCGTCAGCAGCTGTTACCGGTCTTGTCGGCGCTACCCACCTGCTCGCACCGGAGTGCGGTACGTCGGACACGAGTAGTCCGTCGGGTTCGGCACGTGCTCAAACGCCGGCAGCACGTGCAGCACGGGCAGCGTGGCCTTCAGTTCACCTGCGGACGAGCAGGCGGGGCGTCAGCGACAACTGGTGGACGCCGCCTCGCCACGTGAGGCGTCTGACCGCAGAAGCATACGTCAGAGCCACACAGCGAGCCAGCTCAGTGCACGGGTGGGGTCCGTTTGTCCGGTACAAGAGCCCTATCAGAGAGAGAGAAGGTGACCGCTGCTGTCAGTGGCGACGGCGCGGTTCACCAGAGTTTCACAACGGTCCAGTGCCGAGACGGGGCGTCCAGGCCGCGGCTATGACCCGCCGCCGGCGATGATGACCCCGGCAGATATCATATCGGCAGATATCAGCGTGCGCCAGCCGCTCTGTGCCCTCGCTCACCCAACAGGGGGTCCGTGAGGGTCATATTGTCCATGTCCCAGCGTCCAGCGTCGATGAACAGGCCGTGTATCAGCAGGCCCTCTTCGGGCACAGACAGCTCGTCGTCCACCCAGCTGATGAACGTCTGCAGTGCAGGCGGCCAGCTCGTCATCCACATCCACACAGCTAGTACACCTTGACGGCGTAAACACCCGTCAGGCACCCAGTTAGTACACCGTGGCGGCATCAACACCCGTCAGTCACCCAGGTGGTACACCGTGGCGGCGTGACCTCCCGTCGGCCACCCAGTTCGTACACTGTGGCAGCGTAAACATCCGTCAGCCACCCAGCTAGTGGACTGTGGCGGCGTTAACATCCGTCACCCACCCAACCAGTAAAGACGCGTCAGCCACCCAGTCAGTAAACCGCGGCGGTGTAAACGTCCGTCAGCCACCCAGCTAGTGGACTGTGGCGGCGTTAACATCCGTCACCCACCCAACCCGTAAAGGCCCGTCAGCCACCCACTTGGTACACCTCGGCGGCGTTAACACCCGTCACCCACCCAACCAGCAAAGACCCGTCAGCTCCCCAGGTAGTAAACGCCCTTCAGCCACGTAGCTAGTACACGTCGGCGGTGCAAACAGCTGTCCCCACCCCCGCTGATAGGCCTCTGGAACATCTCGCCTGCAGCCAGCACTACCCAATACCTCCCGGAACTCCACAGCGACCTGGCACGACGGCAGGCTCGTACGCCTGGCCTGCACGGTCTGGTGCCGGCGCCGTCGCCCAGTCGACGGCCGGGCGCGGCAGGCCGTCTCACCTTGCCGCTGGTGGGCCGGTGGAACGGCCCCGGCTCTGGGTCGTCCTTGGCTGCGGCCGAGTCGCGACTGCTCATCTCCTGGCGCCACTTCATGATGTCCGCCTGCGGACCACCCAGTGAGATGACCACATCCCACTGTCTAAACGTCACGCGTAGCACTGACGCACGCCAGGCTTAAGATGTGCGCTCTCCATCACTGTCCGGTGTGCATGACTACGCAATCCAATCGCCGTTCACTTGCATTGTGACTGTCCCATTCCGTTCTGAAAATAAACCCATTCGCTAACTCCAGCGAGCCACTGATGCCGTGCGTTGGGCTATGGCGAGTGGAATCATGCTCACCTGATCTCTCCAGACCTTCTGAACCTCGTACTGGAAGCGCAGCTGATCTATAGGCAGGCTGTGCTTGCGGGCGAAATTCTGCAGAATTCCCGTCAGAAAGCCTTGCGGGAAGAAGAACCCGGAGAACCAGAAGGACGGAGGTGGGCCGTACCGACTCCAGTCCTGCTCTCACGCGGTCAGTGTCAGGGGGAAGGACGCGTCGTCAGCCCGTCCGAGCTCGACACCAACCGCACATATCATCGCTGACAACGCGCTGTTCGGCTGAGCCGGGCAAGCATACTCCCCCCCCCCCCCCCCCGCTGAGAACCGCTCATCGTCGAGTTATTGGTGTCATCAGGTCAGTCTGATGACATTAGGCTTGATGACGTGCTAGCCTGTGCATGCTGGCATGCATCCCGTGTAAGTGAAACAAATATGGGGAAGATTAATGAACGCAGCGGGAGGAAGTGATGTTAACCAACATTCTCCGCGCATCCTTAGGCAACGCTCAGAAGATGATCCATGCGGGGGAGAAAAGCGATACCGCCAGCCTTACTATCCGCGTTTAGCATCTCATTTTATCTGTAGGTTAATTAGAAAAGTGATGTGCAACGTGCCACACTCAAATGTGCCGGTAGATGCACACAGAACGTACCGCGAAGGCGTCCACTCGCATGATGAGGTCAGTCACCCAGCTGCCCAGGGACTTGACAGACAGGTAACCCACTTTTCCCCAAAACGCCGGAACCTGGGGAAGGTGGAGCTCTCCGTAACCAAGGAGCACCGACGTTACCCTGTTGGTCCGTCACCATCGCGCCAAAATGGTCTCACACCCATTTAGAAATATAATCTGGTACCGGACATGCAGTTATGGGAGCCTGGCAATGCAGGATCTAATGCAGCGCACGTGTTCGTCAAGACGAAAACCTGACGATAGTAGGCAAACTCACTGCTTAAACGGTTCCGTATCGTTCACGGCACCAATCGACATGGATGCATGCTTGAATTATGCCGACTGCAGACTTACGGCGGGATGTGGATTCGCATAACCAACATCGCGGTCCTGCCACAAACCCAGCCTGGTGTGCACGTCTGACACCAGTTCGGGCTCTTTTGCTGATGGCTAGGCACGGCGCCCCGTCCGACCGCCGCGCTCAGCCCCGCCCGCAGCTGAGGCCCCGCCCCGTCCCTCGGCTGGGCTGGTCGACTGGCCTGGTTGTTGACGAACGCCCTGTAGACGCGGTCCAGCTCCTCGGACATGACCACCAAGCCGCGGATGGCGCGCTTCAGGTCAGCGAGCGTGCTGTGGATGACGCGCAGTAGCCGGTTGTAGCGGTCCACCTCCTGGACCAGCACCGTGGTCAGCGAGTTCATCCGACCGCGGTCGTCCAGCTGACGGGCAGACGACGCCACAGTCAGGCGTGCTGGTCGGCGCCGTGATGCCGCACCCACGCCGCCCACGCTCATCAGCGGAGATAATGCTGTCAACGCCAGCAAACAGCTGGCCAAATATGCAGCGTGCGTTTGTGACCAATATCTCATGGGCACTTGAGCGTGACAGTGAAGAACAGTCTGGTTCAATGTACCGACCTCAAATAGCTTCTTATGGGCGACCTCCATGTCAATCTTGACGGGTATCCTGCCCTCCATGGTCTCGGCCAGGTCGTACACGAACTGGTCGCCGCTGCCCTCGCCGCCGCCGCTGGTCGCCAGCCACGGCTGCATGCTGAGGATGGTGGTCAGCAGGCGGTAGGTCTCCTGGACCTGCGGACGGCCAGACCACAGCACGTCACAGGCTGCGCGCACGGCGCCCGCGGTGAACGCTGCACTCCTCCCTCCGTCGAGACGCGCCAGACATCGAGACGGCCCTGTAGACAACGCCGGGCCGCCAGAGTCGTTGGCAAAGTTGTCCGGGTGCAGATGACACAGCAGGCCCCGACAGTGACGCCCGTCTGCCCACCTTGCTGACGACGTCCGCGTTCACGTGCATGCCGAAGATTTCGGGCGAGTCGGACACGGGCAGATTGTCGACGTACTGCTTGTACTCTTGGTGACCGCCCTCGCTCGGGGCGTAGTAGATGCCGGACGGGGAGTATTTATGATCTGGGGACACACGTCCGTCATGCGTCCAACACCCACCATCAAGGTTGGCCAGATCGCGCATTCAGGTGCAGTCCGGGCATGGTCTTCAGCTGGAGGGCGTGGTAACCACGGGTGTGTCTCAATTTCTGTTACCATCTCCCGAAACTGCGCGTCCACCGAAGCTCTCACCATGACGCTGATTTGAGAACGAGTTTTTCAAGGGTGCCCCTGCAGTCAGTCGCACATAGCAGCTCCTTTTCAGAATTGTATACGTCACCATTTACACTAGCTACCACGGCCGCGTGCAAAACAAACACCAAGACACGGATTGCTGCGCCGAGGTGACGGTCCCACCAAACCGTAGCGTCCACTGTTGGCAGTGTTGACGCACCAGGATCCATGGCTGCGGGCGAGAAGAAGTCGGTGAGGATGGTGGTGAGGCAGCGCTGGTCCCAGTTGTCCGTCACCCGGCCGCCGTATGTTATCTCACCTGTGGAGGTGGCGTACACCCAACACATCACTGGATGGGGCCGGCGGAACGCAGCGCCACCGCGTTATAGCAGTCTGAACATGTACTGAGCGGACAGTTCAGCACGGTGCTAACGGACATGACAACGATGAGTTATATGAGCGTACGTAAGGTAGATTCCCAGTGGCATGTTTCAGCACCCAGAAGCTTCCTTGCCATGAGCACTTCTCTGCCACCCATACACGTCCCGTGAACACCTCACTTTCTGAACGGACACATGAGAGCCACTTAACCTCACGGCTGTGTAAGCACGGCACCGGGCGCTGACCACTGCCGGTACTGACACCGGGCCCCCGTGAGCGCGGGAGCGGGCCGCGGCGGCCGCCGACAGCCGCGGCGCGCGTCGCCCGGCCCACTGACCGGTGATGTACTGCAGCGCCTCCCACGGTATCACGCCGTCCTTGCAGAAGAGGCGCAGGTTGTCCAGCGCGAAGTCGCGGTCGTTGGTGGTGAACTCGTAGCCGATGTTCCAGCCGAGCGGGCCGTACTTCTTGCGCTCCTGGATGACGGCGTGGAAGAAGCACAGGCCGAACACCATCCGGCGCCAGCTGATCTCCAGCACTGCGGAGACGCGGCCGCCAGTCAGCGGTGCGTCGGCCACCCTGTGCAGTGTGGCCCGCTGGCTGGGCGTGGCCGCCGCGCCACGCCAATCTCCGCACCAATCCCACCCGCCGGCGCATGGCGTCGCTACAGCCTGCCAGTCACCGGCGCAGGCACTGATAGTCGCTGTCTGTGCACCGTCGTGGCGCGTGCTGCGTACTTTTCGGAAGAACAGCGCCAGAACCACCTAGAGCTGCTCCCTAGCTCCAGAGACGTGAGTATGTCACACATGGCTGCGAATTAACGATACGGTTCTTCTGGGCCCATAACCACGCCGTGAACGTCACCGGTACGGACCGCCACCAAACGACGGGTCACAATCAAAGTTGCCTCGCGCCCCACGTGGCCACGCCACACGTCAGCAAACAGCGGCGCGACGGAGAGCGTGCTCACCGTTGTCGTCGAAGAACTCGGGCGTGATGGCGGCGAACGCCTGGCGCAGGCTGTTGCGCAGGCCGCGCGGCGGCTCGTTGGTAACTTTGACCGAGTTCTGCAGGATCTCCACCGGGAACGCCTTGGCCGGCATCGACGAGAGGAACAGCCGGAACGACTCGTGCACGGGCGTCGTCGACTCCGGCAAGTCCTTGATGATGGCCTCCAGGCACGGCATCCAGGAGGCGGACAGGTGACAGTTCTGCGGCCGCGACAGACGGCGCTGTTCTGCCCGGTGTTTAACGCGGGGAATGGCTGACGACGAGGCCAGGCGCACCCAAACGAGCGCTCTGATGGATACTGTGAATGCGACGCCCACAACTACTGTCAGTTCTAAAGGATGAGGGCTTAGAGGAAAGAAGCAAGGTGAATTTGTCACAAACACAACATAGGTGGCCTTAAATAACGTAATGAAAGCCAGCCCAATCAGTCACGCGTCACCGCACGTCAGCCAACTCATCTCTGGCTGTTCTGCCCCAGTCTGGCAGAACTGTTCTGCTCCAGTCCCGCCGTGGGCGGCGACGAGCGCTCACCTACAGGAAACCCAGTCTGGCGGCGCGGCTCGCTCCCCCCCCCCCCCTCCCCGCCGTGGGCGGCGACGAGCGCTCACCTGCAGGAAGACCCAGTCTGGCGGCCCCCCCCCTCGCCGTGGGCGGCGACGAGCGCTCACCTGCAGGAAGACCAGTCTGGCGGCGCCCCCCCCCCCCCCCCCGCCGCGGGCGGCGACGAGCGCTCACCTGTCGGAAGACCCAGTCTGGCGGCGCGGCCTCCCCCCCTCCCCCCCCCCCCACACCGTGGGCGACGGCGAGCCCTCACCTGCAGGAAGACCCAGTCGCCAGTACGGATGGCATCGCTGATGGCCTTCTCGGCCACTGGGCCCTGGCCCTGGCCCAGCGAGATGGCCGCCACCCGGTCCTCCATCTCCCGGTCACGCGTGAACCCCATGAACTCGCCCATCGGGTCCGTGCCCTGGCTCAGCACGAAGATCAGCGGTGTGTACCGGTCGATGTTCGGGTACCTGGCGGCGGCGGCGCGGTATCACTGGAGGGGTTACAAGACTGGCGCTCGGTGAGGCACCTGCCCTTTAGTGGCCGCACGACAGCACCAGCTCATTGTGGTCAAACGAACAGCACAGCAGCCGGGGGAGTGTTGATGATTGTGTTTCAATGCTGGGATTTGGAATTGCTCGCGCGATTATCATAATCAGTTTCCCCTACAGTGATATACTTATCACCACCGTTACCAGCCACCTGTGTCAGCAAAGATTATGAACAAGGCAGTTATTTCCTAAAGTTTGGAGCGTTGGTGGTAAGTACAACGGTCCAGGGATACCACGGCATTTGCATACGAGCTTCAAAACTTGGGTAGCATACCATCGAAAGAAGTAAGCTTAGGTGATGGATCGCTGCGGACGTGGCCGCGGCCACTTTTATGGAAAGTTGTGAGAAAAACCGACGCGAAGGGACCGGAACAAGAGATGGAACCCTATGCAACGCACGACAAACCGCCGAAGGAAAGGTTGTCACGGGGCAGAGGGAACACTGGGAGGGCGGACCAATGTCACACGCTGGGCGAAACGCATGCCACGGGCGAACGTCCACGCAGCATGCACCCTCACGGGAAGTCCCGTTGTTGGAGGAGAGGTGTCCCAGCCCCGCCTGCGGCCCGCCCCCTAGCTCGCGGCCGGCCGTGAGCGCGGGGCAGCGGCTCACAGCGTGGGCAGGTCGATGGCCGGCCGCTCAATGAACACGCTGCCCAGATTCTGACGCACGAACTCGGTGACGGCCAGCGCCAGCTGCTCCTGCCGGGCCATGCGCACGGCCAGCAGCTTCTCCATGCTGGTGAGCCGCGCGTCCCAGTGAGACGAGCCCGCCGCCGCCTCTGGGTTCACCGTCTGCGGCCGGGGAGAGCCACAGATCACGGACGGCCGCAGATGTCAGCTGGGTAAGGTCTGAAGGCCTGAATTCCTTGACGGAGGGTGTGTGGGCTCTTACGATGAGAGGATAAAACGCCATCGAGTTCCACGACGAAGCACTCAGCCACGAAGAGGATAAGCCAACGCTCCTGTTTGTGTGCACTCCCGCCAGCTTACAATGGTCTCATTGCCGATGACGACGGCGATCTGGCCACCGGTGAGTGCTTTCGCGAAGTGGGTGAACTGGTCGGGGAAGGCCAGCTCCAGGCTCAGAATGCCCTTCCAGTCACCGTCCGAGTACCACTTGACGGGAGACGGTTGCTCGCCCAGCTGTGGGACGGTGCGGACGTCCCGTCTCAGTGTCATCCCGTACCGGCATCATTGGCCGCGACACACATCCACGGACGGTTTCACCAGCTGCTCCAGCGAATATGGCCACTGGAGCTGGAGATGCGGCCGCGGCCTTTGCAGTGCGATCGCGTGGGTCGACAACAGCGGGCGTGTTGTGAGTGGCTTGCCCTTCACGTTGGGATCATAGGCTGCCGTAGAAGCAACACACCGTACCTGTGATGTCAGGTATGAATCTAGGTAAAGGCGTTCGCAAGGCCTCGAAACGCAGAACACAACTATTCCTTAAAACGGAATTTACGGCGTCATGTCCACATTATGGATACCACTCGGGTGAGACGATGCGAAGTCCTCAGCGATACCTGGTTCGGAAACTCAGACATAAGCGAATACAGTCAAGTGTGACTAACAACTAGGTACCGAAGTCCACCACCCATAAAGAAGCGCGCTGCCCCGCTCCACGCCAGGCGGTAAACCAAATCGGCATAATCTCCAATGTCGCTGAGATTTCCTAGCAACCCCCCCCCCCCCTCCCACAGAATGCGCTGGACCTGCTTCGTCAGCGCGTGCGGCAGTGCCAGCCACCCACCCCCTCCACCAGGTGAGGCGCGCCACGCAGCAGGAAGTTCCACTGGGCGTCCGTCACACTGCCCCGCTGACGCATGATATCTATGCAGAGCACGAAGCTGAAGATGAGCTTGTCCTTCTCGAACAGGCCGCGCGCCACGTCCGTGTAAGCGGCCGTGGTGGTGTTCTCGATCAGGTTAGCCAGGTGCTCCTCCAAGTCCGGGTTCTTGCGCGTGCTCTCGATGTGAGAGTTGAATATCTGCCGGCAATGAGACAACCTATACCAGCACAGCCGTGATTGGTGGCTCGGGGAAAGTGGTGAGACGATGCACAATGTTTCCCAACGAATCGTCATCCAGCATAGCACTGCCCTGATCGTCATGCTTGCACGAACCCGTTCATCGACGTCCGCCACCGTAAAGGCCACCACCAGTTCCATGCCTGAACGCAGCGACGAAGCCCCATTCGCCACAGTTGGCGGCATCCGGCCGCTGCAGGCACAGCACGCCCTGTACCTGGTTGAAGTACTTGAGCGAGTACTGGTACATGGCGTCCACATCTGCCAGCTGGGCTATGACGAAGTAGACGATGCTGCCCCGCAGCGCCACAGGCCGGTACTTCTCTCGCGCCGCCGAGATCTTCACCTCCGTCGACTCGGCCTCCGTCAGTCGGATGCTGATGTCTCGGGACGTTATCTGACGACGGCCGACGCCATCAAACACATACTGCGGCCGATAAATGTAGTCATTCTTTTACGGCTGATGCTTGCAATGCAAGCATCGGCATGTTGCTCGTTGGCTGTCTAGTGTTTATATTACCTATAGTTGCAGTATATGTCATAACTTACCAGCAACTGTGGCTGCGTGGTATGTAAACATAGCACATCAAGTAAGACCGCCAATACTGACCGGTAGCAAAACTTAGCACCGCTGCGCCATACCTTGGACTCGTTCAGTGTGACAATCAGCTGTTCATTGTCCAGAATGTTGCCCTCGGACGTGAAGAGCATGTACAGGATCTTGTCTTCGATCGATCTCAGCTGCGCCTTGTCCGCGTTGATCTGCACAATCAGCTTGTTCCTCGTCTCCTCGATTTTCGGCTCCTCCAGGCGGACCACGTCGCTGGTGACACATCGAGATCGTTCCGGTCCGTCACCATCACACAGGCTGCACAACTTGCGATGACGCTAAGTGGTAAGCTCTTCTCAACACCAACGATCGATAAGCATACGTATGGTCAACGCGATCAGCTGCCGATGTATGCCTCGACTTACCCGAGTAGCTGGTCCTCGAGCCCGCTCTGGGTGACGGTGAAGTTGACCAGCGTCACCTTGATGCACACCTCAGGTAGGTAGTGTGGATTGCCCAGCTTGGTTGTCATGTACATCCGGAACGACTTCTCGTAGTCGACCTCCGAGTCACCCAGCTTTATCAGCAGCCTTCCACCCTGTGAGCCAGAATTTATCACATTAACTAACCGGGCTATTATGCCGCACACCACAATCCAGCGATAGTGAACGATGCGTGGTTTCCCTTAGCCGATATAGGTAGTCATTTATATTTTGACATGGACGGTGCGTCCTTGAAAGTCTGTCATTGATAATACGTCTGTATGTGGGCTGACGGCCGCGTCCGTCTCCGTCGAGTCAGTTGGACCGACCGACAGGTAGGTCTGTCTGTGAGCTGACGGCCGCGTCCGTCTCCGTCGAGTCAGCTGGACCGACCGACAGGTAGGTCTGTCTGTGAGCTGACGGCCGCGTCCGTCTCCGCCGAGTCAGCTGGACCGACCGACAGGTAGGTCTGTCTGTGAGCTGACGGCTGCGTCCGTCTCCGTCGAGTTAGCTGGACCGACCGACAGGTAGGTCTGTCTGTGAGCTGACGGCCGCGTCCGTTTCCGTCGAGTCAGCTGGACCGACCGACAGGTAGGTCTGTCTGTGAGCTGACGGCCGCGTCCATCTCCGCCGGGCTGGCTGGACTGACCGACAGGTACGTCTGCCGCAGCAACACGGGCTCCAGCGCCGCCTCCAGCGTCTCGCCCACAGCCTCGATCAGCATCGGCAGCCCCAGCCGGATGCAGGTCTCCAGCACACGCAGCAGCTGTCCGTCCGACATCTTGGCCACCTTCAGCCCGTCCATGGCCTCCATCCGACGGATCCACTGGTTCGCCTGGCGGGACGGAGTCACAAGGCGCTTCAGGCACGCACAGGCACGCCCGTCATCAGGCCAGACGAGAAGCGGACTGCAGATAGACCGGGATCGACTAAACG